ATTGTTATCAGTATCATCATCATTATCATTACTATTTTTATCATTTTTATCATTATCATCACTATTTTATTATCATATTATTATAATTTTCAGTATTATCATTATCATTTTCATTATCCTTATCATAGCTGAGATTATTATTATTGATATTATTATCATAATTATTATCATTGTTAGTATTATTTCCATTATTGTTGTTATAACTATTGTTATTATCATTGATATTATTATTATCACAATTATCATTATTGTTATTATTATTATTATCATCATCATTATTATCATTATCACCATCTTCATTATCAATATATTGTCATTATCATTATCATTATTATTATTGTTATCATTATATATTATATTATTATCATTATTATTATTATGTTATATTATTATATATATATTATTATTATTTATTATTATTATTATTATTATTATTATTATCATTATAATTATCAATATTATTTTTTTTTATTATTATTTTATCATTAATATTATTATCATTATTATTATAATCATTATTGTCATTATCATTATTCCTATTATTATCCATATTGTCATCATTGATAACATTATTATTAGCAACATAATTATTGCCATTATCATTCTCATTATCATTATTAATATTATAATTATTATAATTATTATCATTACTGCTTTTTCTTATATCATTTTACTATTACTGATATTATTATCATTATTATTATTTATATTTTCATTATTAATATGACTATGATAATAATAATAATATAATAATAATAATAATAATAATGATAATAATGGTAATAATAATTATCATTATTATTTATTACTACTGCTGTTACTCTTTTCTTTGTTTATCATAATCATTATTGTTGTTGTTATTATTATGGCTATTATTATCAGTCATTATTATTATCATCACCATGATAAGTTATTTCAGTATTATCATGATCATTGCTATTATTATTACTATTTTTATTATTATTGTTGTTGTTATTTTTATTATTGCTATATTTGTTGTCATTACCATTATCTTTGTTACAATTATTATCATTATCATCATTATTCTTAGTTGTTTTTCTAGTAATTACAATTAATATTATTAATAGTATTTTGTTATTATCAATATCATTATTATTATTGTTATTGCTATTTTGTTATTATTATTATTGTTATCATCCTTATCATTATCATTGTTACTGTTATCATCTTCCTGACCATTATTATTTTTGTTATTATTATTGTTACTGTTATTATTCTTCTTATTATTATCATTATTATAATTCTAATCATCATCATTGACATGATTAGCTTTATCAGTATCATCATTAGCATTATAATTATCATCATTATTATCACTATTATTTCAGTTATGATTAAAATTAAAATTAAAACTATAATCATGATTCTCATTCTCATTGTCTCTGCCATGGTCACTGTCATTTTTTTATTTATTATTTTTTTTTTTATTATGATTATCATCATCAACTGAGTAAATGGAGCTTATAGCCTCGGTCAGCAGTTCATCCAGGAGAAGCAAACCTCCAATCTCAAGCCTCCACTGCCTTGTGACACATCCAGGCATGGGAAAGGCTTTGGGAGACAGCCCTGAGGAAAAATCTGAAGCTCAAGTTGTTACGTGGTCTGTTTCTATCCTAACAATGTTCTCTTGTGACACTGTTGGTAACAAATTTTATACTAGTCTCTGTTATTCCTTTAGGTCCATCAGTAATATGAAACAGGTAGATCTGATGGGCTGGGATGGAATGTCTGCACCATGGTAGCAAGCCTCTCTGGAGATCATGACATCAGCGTTACAAGAAAGACAGCTTTCATCAGTAGCTCCTGAGACTATAGGTGGACACAGCTGCCTTGCCAGAAAATGGGTAGGCCTAAATGGCTCAAGCATGTTCATGGAGAAAGACTATACTTTCTAGCAAGAAAGGAGTGCAGAGGTGAACTGAGAGCATGAAGTCGGCTTTGCAGTCACGGACTAAAATGGCTGAGCCAGGTGACAAGGAAACAGAATGCCTGCTAACTCTCATCTTCATACTTCTGACGACCCAGTCACTTTAGGCAGCACCTATGCCCTAACTCCGATATGCATACCTGAGGCAAAGGTTAAGCTTGATGAAATGCTAAGATTAACAAGCACATTGGCAAGACTGCAACCATCTAGGATGATTCACCCTATCCAAAATTATCACATGCTTCACAGGTTGATAAGTCGACCCAATCCCAGAAAAGAGATGTCAAAACAAGAAGTAACATGATTGTCTCCAAAACCTGTCTATGTGGGTGTCAGTCAAAGTGTCATTGCATGGAAGCACTTGTCATATATTAATGAGACTAATCACATGCTTTTTTACATCATAGGATGGCCATTGACAGTATTTACCATCTGACTATCACCCTTCCAACAGCAAACAGGATTCTTGGTCAAAATAGATCTGTTACCTGTAAATGGGTCCCCAAACAAATGACATTAGACAGAATGACTGTCAATAGGTTAGAACCTGGTAAGGGAAAGGCTGTCAATGAACTGGCCACAGAATGCGAACTTTTAGATCATAGAGCATTTTAAAAGAATCATAAAATCACATACATATTGAGTTATGAAACAGTTTATTAGAGGTTCAAAAACTATTTAATGATTATTTGTATGACCAGTCTTGCTTTGTTGATATAAGAAAAGCATTTTATGTAAATACATGCAAAAAAATGAAATAAGTGTATGATTTTCACAGCAAGTCTCATACCTAAATAAGAGGATATCTAAATTTTCTTTTGTGATCAGCATGCTAA